CCGTAAGAGGAATTTGACAAGTTTTGGGTATGGATTTTTGATCTTACGAGTCTGAAGGGGGAAGAGGAGAAGACAGAAAATTACTAAATGTGTCGATGTAAAAGTTCAGCATTTATGAGTGTAATGATATAATATACAGTTATCTATGATATCAGTATGAGTTAGTAATATCTATGAGATGAGTTACCTCTAAAATATACTTCCTAATTTTAACGCGATAATATGACTATGATATCAAAGTAACGTGATGGTAATTTTGCAGGGTTCTTTATTTCTACTATTGAGTTTGATAATACAACCGATCATCATTGATCTACTCGTACACCAGCATTGAGTTCGAGTACACGCTATCAAGGGGGAAGGACGGGGATGCTGTATCAAAAGGACCAGTAGCGTATTCGTGATAGACTCTCGTCGGGTATGGAGAATCTCCTTTCCATAGAACTGTAAGTTACTTGGAAGTTGATGTTGAGATTCTCCATAGGAGGGACTCGTTCAGCGCTCTGCATCCAAGCTGGTCGTCGAGTGAGCCTAGGAGGAAGAGGAGTATGATTCGGGAAGATCCTTGCCCTGCCTTACATGCCGGCCTCGGCAAGGCGGCGTATCCTGCCGACTATATCGAGCTTGTATCCTCGGTAGAAGTTAGTACCATAGGGATGGATGTGTCCATAAGTCATGGGAGAAGGAAGAATAAAATAAGACAAATAGATATACAACTTAGTCTCCGCTGGGAGTCGAACCCGGGTCGTCCGATGGGGCATGGGCGGTCGAGTGCTCTACCGTTCTCCCAAATTTACCAAATGCGGCATGCTCGTTGTTAATGTATCCATAATTAATCCACCGTCGTTGTAACACATTCCCCCACTGTCGTGAGTGTAAGGATTACCATCTTCCTTGTTATACTGCTGCTGTTAGTTGGCCCTCTCCTCCTCCCTTTGTGTGTGTTGTGCCTCATCAACATGAATGGGACGCGGCTTCCTTGGCTCAATTTGAAAGGCTCTGCACTGAGTTCTACAACCCCCCCAATGAGCAAGCCCAAAGGCATGCTCATGAGGTCCTTACTCCCCTCCTCAACGGCATTGACTCCGTACCCCAACTACAGTAATAAGTATGGGTATCATCATCCTCCCAACATGGGGAAGTATGTTTAGATACATCCTAGCTAACTCGTCCAATCAGCAAGCCCTAGTCTTTGCCTCTACTGCCTTGACTAAGGTGGCTACTGCTAATTGGACTGCCGTTACTGAGCAGCAGAGGGAAGATATGAAGGTAATCATAGTGACGCCACTCAAGGGTGTACAGCTCTGTTTACGACTTTGCCACTCGCCTTATTCACGTCACTGTCTGTATCCTACTTCACGTCGTGTGGCTCGCAAATTGCATATTGTCTGGAAAGGAGTGGTGAAGTGGTTTCTTGATAGAGCACCTCGATGGTAACAAACTTTGAGAAAATCGGTTGTTCCCTTTGCTGTTAAACTCACTGATTGAGAATTCCCCTTGTTCGTCGTTGGTGTTATTTCTTCCCCGTAATTTTCTCAGAACTTCATGTTAAACTACCTCTTCCAAAACTGTGAAGCCCTTCAGAACAGTGCTCCGTAAGGCCCATCA